TAGTGTTTTATACAATAAATTGTAGTTATCTGGTGAGATTTATAAAATTGAAGACAAGTGATAGTTAAGGAAATTCATAATCCTAACCCCCATCTTTTGTCTGAAGATCAAACAACCAGAGTTCTTGAGGTGCTTTAGAGAAATCATACTAGAAAATTGCCTAACCTAAGAACTTCAAATGAGAACTGGAGAAAGTGAAACTGATTTTAGAAATTTTAATTCTTTTAAGTGTACCATTTTAACACTTCAATAATAGCCTTCTTTTCAATAGAACTCCGCAGATGCTGTTACTTTCCACTAATGTTAGATATATAGAAAGAACCTTAACTTTTCCAGGCCATTTAGGAACTCTAAGAGTCTGGAACATCCTGAAGAATAATCATTTCCTGTAAATTTTTCTAGTTCATGATCTTCTTAATAGTAATGTACAAAACATTAAAGTGTTGTTCAGAAAAACTTCCTTACTCTCTTCCAAGATTTTAATCATCTCTAATCGAAGCACAGTTTTCAGCTGAGATCATGATATCCTAGGCAGTAAATCTTCTTTGTTTTTGTTCCATTAAAGAGAATGGTTAACAGACCATTCATTGTTCATCTATTAACTGTATTCTAATACATGCTAATTATTTAAAACATTATGTATCATATAGTGCCAAGTTAACACCAATCATTTCCCAAATAAATATATTTATTTATTCACATTTATAGCTCATTACCTTGGTATAATAATAATTCAGCTGCTTCTCTCTCATTGTGAAGTATATAACTTCTGTCTGTCATATTTTAGGAAAAGCAAAACTACATTTATCCATTTTAAGTGTTGACTCTAGTATTAAGTCATTTAGTACTTGGATTTCTGGGGGTGGGGGTTGAGTTGTATATGTGAATATGTTATACTCTAAATATGTTCAAAATGTATTCTTCTGAAATTTTATTTATAAAAAGTATTTTTCATATTCTTTCTCACTGTCCAGATTTCTCATTTTTAAAAGTATATGTCTATTTGTAATGGAAACCTGAGCTAATCCCAATGGTAAGCATGCTCAGTTGTTTAGAAGTCAGTAGAGAAATATACCTGGTGCAAGTCTTGAGTAGATAGCAGAATCATCATTAGACTAGAGCCTTTAGCTAATTTCTCTTCTTTCTTTACACAAACTATTCCATTCAGTGTCCTTCTATTTATGACCTTCTGCTTTAAGCATTGGAAATAAGCCTTTGCTATTTGCTAAGCATACTATTATGTATTTTGAATATATTATTTTGAATATATTTTTCTCAAAAATTCTTAAAATGGAGTTTATCCTTATCTTTCTGGTAAGAAATCTAAACCTGAGAGTTTAAATTAATTAAGTTAAATCTTTGACTCTTAGGTGCTAAGAGACACACAAAGATGAGGAAGATACTGTGCTGGCCTTTAGGAGTTTGTAGTCTAATAGGAGATTTGAAAATTAAACATGAGCACATTTACATATATATATGCACACATACACATATATATACACACAGAAGCCCTATGACAGGAGGTCATATGTGATGAATTATACACACACTATCTCTTGTCATTGGGTTGTGTGTGAATAAAAGGCATAAAACCTTTATGCTATTTTAATGCTGTGAAAAAAGGCAGAAAAATACAGTATGGAGAATCTTATTTTTCCTTAAATTTTGCATATCTAAAATTTTAGCTCAGCAAACTGGATGATTTGAGAAGTCTTCCAATAAAGATATGAACAATGCACACCATGCTAACCTGTGTTTTAAAAATTTAAAAATGAAAGCCTTATTCTAGCCTTTGTGCAATTATGAATCATGGCAACAAGACTAGACATCATGACAGACCTAAAAAGACAAAGAATAGAGTAGACAAAATCAAAATCCTAACTACTTAAATTGAAAGTCAGGTAAGCAGTTAGATTTCAGAAATGGAAGAAAAGCAAATCGGACAGAAACCAATCAGGAAAGCATGGGATACAAGAGTACCAGGTGGCTTTGGATATCAGGATAAGGTTCTAAGACAAATATTAAAAATGAGGCATGCCCTGTGTCAGCCAAGAAGTGTCATATATTTCCTGCTGAGATAAAGATATTCTTCCTCCTGCAGTTGGGAATCAGTATTTCCCTATTAGGTGATGGGATATGGATGAACCTGGCCAAATGGGGAAGGTGGAGTCTGAGGACATACTAGGAGTAAGTGGTAAAGTTGGGTTTAATATTTTTCTGAAACAGATCTCTTGGATCTATGTAAAAATAATTATGTTTTTGTAGTACGGTCTTAATATATTTATTGTTAAGTATTCCTACTTAATATTCTTTAGTCAAAAATATTCCTGAAATTTATATAAGCCAGTATTTGGCTACTATTTAATCATTATCATCATCATTATCATTGTCATCATTTGTCATCACTTGTCATGTGTCAGATATTGTGCTAAGTGCCTTACACGCATTATCATGTTTAATCCTTGCAGCAAGCCTTGGAGATAGGCAAAATTATTATTCACGTTTTAACAGATGCAAACTGAGACTCATAGAAGCAATTGATCCAAGATCACAAACCTAATAATTCACATAGCCAGAATTCAAACCAATGTTTCAGTCCAACTCCAGAGCATTGGCTCTTAATGATTACATTATTGCCCTTACTACTGCTAGAGTTAAAACTTACAGTTTTCCATTTGATTTTAGATGATATAATAATCCCATGATCAAGAATAAATGAGAAATATATTATCAAAACTGCTTTCATATTTGATAATAAATTACTTTAAAAGAAAGAATAGCAGATGGCTTTTCTTTTGTATTATAAATTATAAGAATCAGACAAAGTTCCCTATATGCAGTATATCTATCGAACAATTTTATAGCTTTGAAAAATTTCTTAAAACTTTGATTTTTGTATCAATAAATGCCCCAAAAAACATATAAATAAAATGAAAGCCTTTCATATATGTCTTACCTTGAGATCATATTTAATTTAAATACATTTTGTGAAAACATATATAGATCATTTATTATATTATATAGTATACACTATATTATTATATAGTGTACATATAGATCATGTATTATATTATATAGTATACACTATATTATTATATAGTGTGCATATTGTGTATATTATATAGACAGATATAACATAGATAATGTTGACACCCTTCATTTAAATGCTATTCTGGGCAATGGCTTTAAACATTGCCATTTAAGGTAAAATATTTGGTATTTTAAAATGACTTTATTTGAAAAATAATATTATTATCTAAATTACCTTTGAATAAATCCACTGTAAATTGATAATGTTCCTTTTAAAATCCAACCCTGTCGTTCTATTTAAATAGATATTTCCTGGGAAAAGGCAGCAATTTTTACAAGAATTTAATTGTATGCTTTTTGACAATTGAGAGTTTATCTAACAAAATAGAAAGTTAAAATGGACTAAGAAAGGCTAATTCTCACCTAAAGTGAATATATGTTGCTAGGTTAATGGATTTGACTAAAATTTTATGGAGCATTAGAAATAATTCCTTTACTTTACATTTGAAGAAGAGTCAATTATTAACTTAAAAATGGATAGCTAGATACTGAGAGGTTTTGGAAAAAAAGCAACAGGTCACTTGTATCGGATCTATTGTTTAAACTATGCCCTGTTGCCACTCAGTTTCTCTTGGCCAAAATGTTTATGTCTATTTAATATTTGCAATGAATTGTTATTCATGGAGGATTGTTTAGGTAATTATTCTTTAAAACATAGCAAGTAGTTGATATAAAATAATCATCTTTCTAAGGCTTTTTGAAATTTGCTAGTATCTGTGATTAGAAAATTCTCCTTTGCAAAATTAACTAGATAAGAATGTTTCAGCATTAGGATTGAAGTGCATCTAAACAAATAAAAATCAATTAGCAAATAATCTCTTCACCCAATAATAGTCATATTCGATGTTTATAGCAAGAATACTGTTGTATGACCAAGTTGTAGTAATGCAGTAATAACACATACTACATTCACTTACATTATGCCAGATAACACATATGTCTTAGTTCTAATTTTCAAATCAGCCTTGCAGAAAAAGATATTATTGATTTTTTAAAAAGAAGCCTTTTACAGATTAAATGATTTGCTCAAATTTATTCAACTGGTGAGAGTTTTTCTTACTCTAGGTTTCCAGACACCAAGGTTTGTCCTTTTTACATCTTAACAAGAGGACTCTTAGCAGATGATTTTTTGTTGCCAAAATAAAGTTAAATTTTTTGCATTAGTTTTTACATTAAATGTATTTTATGAGAATAGGTCATTAACATAAAGCATTTATAATGGTTTTTAATTTACCAGAATATTTGAAAACCTCAGAATACTCTGCAACCCTGGCTGTGCCAGTTAACTATCTGATTATTTTAATTCCAGGAAGTTTGAACTATTGTAAATAATAATGACTTTTTCTAGTATTTCTAGGATTCATCAAAGTCCAGCAACCACTCTGAAATTAAACTTTCTCTTTTTTCTTGACTCGTCTAAAAAGAGTTAATGGTTTAATAATTAGATTTTATATTATCTCTAGGTTTTCAGTGAAGCATAATGGATTAATTGATGGCTACTAGAATTGGTTTTTTTAAAGTTATAACAGCAGCTTTATTGTACGTGGGTTTTTTTTTCAAATTTTATTAAAAAATAAAAAATTGTACTTCCTAATATTAAGCCAAATGTTTATTTCCCAGATTTTACCCAAATGTTCTTTCCTGAGGCCAGTGCTGTTTCGAAACTATTTTAATGGCCTTCATTGGGGTGTGGCAAAAACATTCTAATTACTTTGCTAAAAACAAAGGTTTCATATAAATTGAATTTTTCTTTTAGGATAATTGCCATTCACTTTTGTTTTATATGCAACTGATTGGGGTTTTGCAGTTTCCTCTGTGGACAATTAAAGTGCTGAAATAGGAGAAAGCTAATAATTGCTTTGTGTGGTAATACTGACAACTTCTGCGTATTTGTCAATCTGTGTTAACAGTATCGATCAGGATGGGATCCTCATAGAGGGGCAGATAATGTTTCTACTAAATCTTCGGACAGTGATGTAAGTGATATATCTGCGGTTTCAAGGACTAGTAGTGCTTCTCGTTTCAGCAGCACAAGCTACATGTCTGTCCAATCAGAACGGCCAAGAGGAAACAAGAAAATCAGGTGAGTAAGGGGATTTCAACAGTAAATTTCTCTAAATATGATTTAGGTCCTTATGTTTCTTGGATGAACATAAAACTCTTTATTTCTAAAAGGTTAATATATATTTTAAAACAAGGAGAACTTAACTTCTGAACATACTACTTTTTAATATATTTTAATCCATATTTCAGACTTCTTAACACAGAAGACATTTCTATGGAACTGTTGATAATTTTGCTTACTAAATCACTGGAAATATCTTTTTTCATTTTTATAATTTAAAAATTTATACCTTTATTATATCTTTACTGAAGTAAAAGTGATGGCTGAGACGAATTTTTAATGTTCCAAGAAATATGAAAAATAGTACTTTTGTTATTAGAAAACTTAAGAATATTACTTTTTCAGTGGGATGCTTTCCCCTCCTCTTGAAATTTTTATATATGAATAAAAATGTCCTCATCGTCTCAAGAAAATTTATACATGTAGTATATAAGTTAGTATAATTTGCATTTCCTATAGATTTTATAGATGCCTAAGCTAAATTTCTTTTACCCTTATTGGATTAAAAATTTATAATAGGGAGATCACAGCTTTTACCTTTTTTCATGCAATTTTGTAAAAGGAAAATATTATTTAAAAACTATTACAATTAAGTGCTACTTATACAGTGCTTCTCTAGTATACACTGAAGTAAGTTTTCCACATTTAAAAGATACAATTTTTACTTATGTTTTGATAGTTTTTGTTACCTTTCTGTTTAATTTCGTATGTTTTTTCTTGACTTTCTTTTGTGTGTTTATTTGCATGCCTTCAATTTGTGTTGCTTTCAAAAGACCAAAGGGAATAGAAGAGGGAGGGAAAGAAGGGGATAAGCACGAAGAGATAGTTCATGAGAAGGAAGAGGTAAAGGAAGAAAGAATTAATGAGAATGAGAAAGGGAAAGAGATTTCCAAAACGTGTAATAAGGAGAAAAACAGAGAATCAGGAGACGAGAAAAAAACACAAGATATACCCGAGCAAGGGAAAGAAAAAGAACAGTGGAATAAAGAGGATTTGCAAAGGAGATTCTCACAAGATGATTCCAGGTAAAATATGTTATTTTTAGGCATTTCCCATTAGTAGTGTAGTCTTTTTTACTATTCCTAAAAATTATTTTGTAATTTACATTTGCTTTATTTTCTTGTGTTTTATCTATTTAGTGTCTCATATTACTAGTTAATATGTTAGCAAACTATTATCAAATAGATTGATTTATTAAACAGTCTTGAATTTGTATCACCAACTCTGATAGTCTGATTTATTTTGTTTCCAGTTTGTTATGAATAGCTGAATCAAATGTAAATTTCCCTGTATATCTTTTAACATGAATTACTATATACTTTATCTGTAAGGTCTAATAAAGATCATTGAAAAGAGAAACATAAAAATTCTTTAGCAATATTGAAGACTGCTTTAGACAAAAATAAGGCAAAATTCCTTAAAATGAACTTCTGAAGTGGCTGAAAAAATTGAGCTTATTTTATAAGAAATATTATAACTATAACTAGAAAAAAAAGAAATATTATAACTAGAAACAAACTTCAAAAATGAGTGAGAATATAGGTAGCAAACAGTAGAGTTTATTCTGGCTCTTGGTTCCCTTGCTTCTTCTTAGTTTTCTAGTAGGTTCTAGTACAGCTTGAGTCCTGCAGAAGATTACAAAACAGGGGCAGTGTTTTTTTAATACTCTGAAAAGACAGAGTAGATGCCTCAGGGTTTATTAGAATGCAAATGTGGGGTTATGCCTTTCTTAAAGTCATTCCATTAGATAAATTTGTAGAGAGGAAACTTTGAACAGGGAGAAAGGCAGGGAAGAAATACAGGTAGCATGGCATAAAAACAACTATATTTAAATTTCATAGAGCAAGCCAGTAAGTATGAAGTTATCTTTACAGCATTATATATATTACATACAGTCAAATCAGCACAAGTGTGCAGTAAGACTTTATCCTCTGCTTGAGGATATGAAGTTGTTCTAATTATATTTATATGAGCTGAAAATTGTAAATTATGTACATTTTGGAGGGATTGAGTTTTCCAGTAGTTTAGAATTTGATTTTGTGTTAAGCCTGCTCAATAAAGCACTTCCTAATTATAAGCAAGATTTTGTAACATTATATCTAAGTCCAATCTAAATTTCTGATTTTCTTACAGTTAGTGAGACAGATAATTGGGATAGATCTCTACCCATTGAGTATACAATTCAGTGATTTAGCTAATGTCATGTCACTTTTCATCTTAGATATATTTAACTATATTTGTGCTCTATGAAAGTTTCTCTATAACAGGCATTAAACATAAAAATGAATCTTAAGTAAGGCATATTTTATTATTTGAGTCTAAATTAGTAATTTCAAATCTGTCTTTGGTGTTTAACTTTGATAATTACATTAGTTTGCTAATAAAGATGACCATTTTTTCTGATTTCTTGGGCATAAGATTATTTCATCACTAATTCACAGAGAAAAACTTTCTAAGATGTCCTTGGAAAGAGACAGAAGAGTTTCTTTCTTCCAAGAGCAAAGAAAAGAATGAGTCTCTAATGTGTTTTCTGCATACTGTATAGATGAGAACACATGAGCCCATTTGTGTTTGCCTGGAGCCCAGAACCCACACTGGCATACGTGGCTTGCTGGGCAGAGATTCAGAGAAGACTATAACCTTAAATTTCTGATTTTTAAATAGAACTCACTTCACCATTTCTTCAAAAAAAGAGCACATTATTTTTCAAGGAAAAGGGAAAGACGGTATATTCTAGAAACATGGTTCATCAAAGCCCTGCACTTAACTTAAGTAACTCTGTAATTCTTCTAGAACTATAAACTAGAGGAGGCCAGGTTGATCTCTGTAGGAAACAGATACCTGGAACATGGCAAGAAGTATCAACTGCAATTGTTTATAAGAAAATGTTGGTAGCACTCATTAATCATTGCAACACAGGCTCTTGGATTTGCCTTTACTTCTTAGAATAAATCTAACAGTCTTTATTGTGAGGGAAAATATGTTTGAGTATTCCAAGCATCATTTTGTTTTGGTAGTTGATTAACGCAATCATAGACTGTTTAAACATTAATAACAACTTATGTTCTTGGAAAAATCTTATTCTATAATACCGATTGGATATTTCATATCTGAAATGCTTGGGACAAGAAGTGTTTCAGAGTTTGGAATGTTTTCAGATTTTGGAATACTTGCATGTATGTAATGAGATATATTGAGGATAGGACCCAAGTGTAAACACTAAATTCATTTATGTTTCATAAACACCTTATACACAAAATACTTTTGTGCGTGAAACACAGCTTGTTTGCATTGAATGATCAGGAGCAAGCAAAGACATCTATCTCAGTCACTCATGTGGACAATCTGTGGTTGTTTGGTATCATCACCATTTCTTACTCTGAATTTCTATGCTCCCAACAAGTAGTCACTTTCTTGCACTTATTAACACATAAGTACTTAACATTTAAAAATGTGACAAACTATTAATACAGTGAAAAGGTAATGTGTTCAGGTAATTAAGCAGCATAGTAGCATCACCAGAATTCCTGTATCAGCTGTTAAGCAATAGCAACAAAAAACAGTGGCAGGCTTTTTGTCTCTCCTTACAATGTGGTGTTTTGATTTAAAGGTCACTGTGCATTGTGGCACTCAGCAAGTTTGAGCATTTAGTATTTCAGATTTTCAATTAGGGAATGCTCAACCTGTACATGACTGACATTTTATACTTTTCACTTGGAATCTAAGTTTTATTAAGGGTGGTGCAAAACTAATTGCAGCTTTTGCCATTACTTTTAATGGCCATTACTTTTAATGCCATTACTTTTAATGGCAAAAGCTGCAACTACTTTTGCACCAAACTAATATAAAGGAAAAAAAAATTTACTTCAGAATTTAAATATTTATAGCAATGCTAGTACTTTAATTAACACAGTAACTACCATAAACAAAATCCATTATAATTGCTATTTTCATTAATTAGATCTAATTGTATAATACAGATCTTATTGCATGATTATGTTCATTTTATAGTAAGTCACATTACAGTAAGTCTACTGAATGTAAAAGGAGAAATGAATAGCAAAAAGTAAGTTCAAAAATAATTTGTTAAATGTTTGAATATATTTTTCCTAAGTTAACTAATGAGTAATATGTTCATACTTAGCTGTCTATATTTACACACATCAAAAATAAACATTTTTTAAAGTTTAATGAAATTAAGCATGTTAAAATTTCTAAGCCTGAAGGTTATGCAATTTTTTAGCCATGTGTGGATGGATGTTTGAGGATAGTTCTATATCCAAACAATGTCAGCAGGATGGCCTCAACAAATTCATAAGAATATTTGATGAAATAATTTGGTGCAGAAAGAGGCAATCTTAAGTAATTTCCCATGTAAGATAGAAAAAACAAATACTGAAAAGCATAGTATTGTCAAAAGCAACAATATTGGTAACTGTGTTCAAATTAAAAATCAAGAAATTGTTTCTCTATACACTTATAGTACTCAGGCATATCTATAAATGCTATGGAATTATCATTTCTCTTTTTTAAGAGAATTGCTGTTTTTGAGATAGAGAATTTTTAAGGAAAAATATAGCATCAGTTCAAATTTTCGTGAATAACTGGTTTTAAAAAACTTAACACTATTTCAATTTTCTATCAAAAGATCTCATAATCTTTAGAAAGGCAAGCAGAGTAATTGTTAATGAAATATTTATCCAAAGCCATTGCTGTTAACATATTCTACATCAGAGTTACTGTGAAAACAGATTATATAGCTATGTGATATAACTTTATATATACAGCCTATTTATGCCTATGTTATAGAATTTTAAAGGGGATGCAGAGGTCTCTTGAAAATAGTTGTGATTAGGACTCTAAAATACCTGGATTGTCATCCCAACTGTCATGTACACTTATCCATTTTGTCTATCTGGGCTTTTAAGCTTGTTAAATAGAGGAATGGATCTTTCAATGATTCACACTCCTTTCCATAGCTTAGACGAACATGGTACACAGCAAACAGGAAAGTGAGCATTGCCTATTACACTGACGATTTGCCTTTATTATCATGAATTCAAGAGGTAATTGGTTCTGTGACTAACCACTGGTTAGTCACAACAAGCAACTGAATATAAGTTTTTACTATTTGGCAGATGTTTTCAGGCAGTATTTAATATTCTATTGATCATGCTTATTTATTTATTTATTGTTTTCTGAAAGTGTGTTTTAGTGCCAACTCATCCCAAAGGGCATGATGGGCTATGCTCCTCCACCAAGTATTACCTGTGGCTTGTGCTTTCTTTTTTGTTGTTTTTTCTTCCGTATCGCTAAGGCTATCTTCTATTTATTACCAATGAAAGTCTTGTAATCCCAAATACCTTCTACTCTGTTTTATATTTGTGCATAATACTCAACTGGGAACTTTTTAGAAGTACTTGAACATCAATCCTAAAGCTGTGATTCTGTATTTGTAAAACCCCACAGGTGATTATAATGCAAGTAATGTGTAGATGCTATCCCTCCTCTCTTTTGGGTTGCTTGTATTTACTAAGGACATTTCAGATCAGCTTATCAATTCAGGAGGGAAAATTTCTGGGATTTTGATAGAGACTGTGTTCAGTTAGATCAATTTGAGGATTGTTGCTGTTATAAGAATATTAAGTCTTCTAATCCATGAGCATGAAATGTTGCTCCATTTATTTTTTTTTTCTGCCCCTTATGATCTGCAGAAAACATTTATTTTTTTCTTTACTTTCTTTTTTTTTTTTTGAGACAGGATCTCTGTGACTCAGGCTGAAGTGCAGTGGTGCAATCATGGCCTACTGCAGCCTCAGTCCCCCCTGGCTCAGATGATTCTCCCACCTCAGATTCCTGAATAGTTGTGACTACAGGGGCATGCCACTACACCCAGCTATTTTTTTTTCTTTGCTTTTTTTGTAGAATCAGGGTTTGGCCATGTTGCCTGGGCTGGTTTTGAACTCCTGGGCTCAAGCAATCCTCCCACCCCAGCCTCCCAAGGGGCTGGGATTATGGGTGTGAT